CAGGTTCACTGCGGTGAGGGTACCCACGCAAGCGCTTCCGAAAGTGCTGCCCCGATTGCATTCCAAGCGACCAAGCATTATCGGACATCAAGACAAGTCACTCAATCAAAACCTTCTCGCTGAAGGTGACAAGCTGACCTAAATCTTATGTCATTCAGCGAAACCTTCACCTGCTTGCACGAGTAGTAGCCAAAGCAACAAGTGGCTAGGACTCCAGTATGCCCTCGTGCTGTCTAAGTCCTGCGAAGATTCGTTGGTTCAGTTCAGCTTACTAGGGTACCCATCTTTTCGCTCTTTATTGAATCCTGCGTTTTGGAATTGTAAGTTTCGGTGTACACGACAGTATGTACGTAGGTATGCATGCGTGTACCTATACGTATGCATGCAGATCATCCCTGTACTACTCCGCAGTGTCTAAACCACCCGAAGCTTTCTTCTAGCAGCTTCTTGCAATCACACACAATTCCCGTTGCGATCTTCTGTTCCATACCACCTCAATTGCCAGGTACTCTCTGTGCGAGCCCCACAATCGCCGCCAACCCGCCTTGTGAACACGGTGACGACGAAGCGTTTTTGTACAAGCAGACTAGAAGACAAACACTGGCTAGGAACAACAACGGATATATGCATCATGCTGCTCGACTGTTCAACCCCTGCACATGTTTTTGCTGATGACCTGCGACCACAAACAATTGATCCTCTTGCGAATTTCGCATATCACCTACACGGTGCAAATTGCTGACGCTGCAGAGTTTGATCAATAAAGCCTCCAGCCTCTAGCCATTCAGCCATTGAAGCAACAAACCATTTAGCCAATGGGTTTGGCCCAGTCGAGGGGCTAGGTGCCTGCCGGAGCCCTAAAACATAAACACAGTTCAACAAATGAGCTGTTAAACTTTTCATCCATTAAGCAAGCGAGTTGGCACTACGAACGGCTTGAAACCTCACGAATGTCAAAAGCGGCTAAACCACCAATCACTAAACTATCAGCGGTGCTTAACCAACCTTTGGGAGGCCTAGCCGCCTAGCCAGTTATAGAACAAATCCAAAAGAACGGACTGATGGGTTAACGGTTAATGCTTGTTCTCTACAAATCAGCTCGGACCTGCAGCTAGCAACAACAGTCGTATTCAACTGGACATAGGAACACGACGCATTTCAACTGTGGCAGGCCTGTCGCGACCATCATCTTTAGTCTTACTGTCTTGCAGTTGCTGGTGCACACAGCGCCCGCAAAAGTTCATGCTCTGTGCCGCTTAATCCCTTGACTTTCGCCCTATCCTGCATCCCATAGAGCGAAGACATGTTGCGACTTCAGCCCGAGTCGACTGATATGTGACACTTAGCTCTTCGTGCAGGTGTCCAGTTGCGACTTCGCGTCATAATCCGTCTGCTGTCAGGAGTTCTACAGACTTGCACCAGCTGGGATGCCGGCACGACTAACCATGCCTGCCACATGCAAGACTTCACACTTGAGTGCACAGACTTGTTCGTGCCTCAGGACCCTAGGAACTGCATGGCCTTGAGGGTGAAGAGAAGGTGCGCCCACAATTTTCTGCAGGATCTGGATTGGATACTGTCTTGCCAAAGATTCCAAATTCCTGAAATACGGTGGACAGCCATGATGGTTGATCCGGGGGCGAATCTGCGCAGCGATTCCCAGCTGATTTCCAGGTGTCGGTTGACTCGAATCATATCCTTACTTGGCTGAACGGGCCGAAGCACTCTGTAACATGTCTTTGGAACATCGGCCATGCGTCACCCACGACAGTCAGCATGAAGGACCGGAGTGTTACTCAAGATCGTCGAAACGTACGCTATGAGGTTCTGTGGCCGGCAGGCCAGATTCAGACTAAGTTTGGAGCTTTGATGTTCTTAAAGTGGTCATCTTAAGCTTTATAACACTACAATCGCACGGAGACTTGAGGCTGTCAGGGAAAACTAAGACGCTGTCCGTCCTAAACTGTGCCAATGAACCAGCTGCCGACCTGAGGAGTCTGCTGGAATTGCTGCAGCCTTCAGGCACGGCATAAAAGGGTGTTTCTGAATGTATGACCAAGACAGTGTCTGTAAACAGATCTGGCAGGAACAGAAAAGACTCTCCACCACTTGTGCATGCAAAAACACGGCACAGGGCTGTGGCTCATGCTCTGCACGATTGTGCAAACAAGGCTTCGGATGCCTGCGTGTGCTACCCGGATCTACCAGCCAACAGGCACAATGCTGCAAGACAGGTTTCAACGATGAAAGTCCTTAGCGCAGGGCTCTTCAGCAGGAGATGTTGCTGAGGCATGGGCCAAGTGCTGTGCTCCTGCGTCTTGGAAAAGTCATGGTGCAAGCCGCGGATATGCCTTCAGCCGTCACTTGACAATGTAAACCACCAAGACGGTGAATGGCCTGTGGATGCCTGTGGTCTAGACGATTCAGGTCGTCAGCAACATAGTTACGATTTAAGCGTCTTCGTGTGCTTGGATGTGCTTGGGATGTCGGACAGAGTTACCTCAAATCAGCTGAACAGCAACTCACCATCGGTACTGTGCGGGACGAAACTGTTTGCACCACCAACCTGCCCTTGCCCTTGAGGTTTTGTATTTATGCTGTGCAGCACTGCATCAGCACTCCACACCTCAAATGTGACTATTCATACACCATCAGCTCGTCATCCGTATCAAATGATATCTGATCACGACCCGAAGACTCGAAGTTCGACTCAAAGCACACCAGAGTTCTGCATCTGCGGCTGGGACTAAAGTGGTCAAGGATCGCTGATTTGTCGCGTTTTAGTTTGGCCCTACAAAGGCACGCAGTGTGCTGCATTGCAAACTCTGCCCGGCATGGAGAAGCGGTGTCTTGTTGCAGCTTCGCCACCCAATGACCTGCTGCACGACTTCTCCCATGGCAGAGACGGTCGTCGAATTCGGACGTGAGAATTGGCAGTGGTAGAAGTGATTCCATGTTGCTTGTGCTAGGCACCGCGCTGGCAACAGCATGCCTACTCTCTGCATGATGTCGAATTATTAATCCAATGCAAAGTGATCAGCGCTGGTGACCCACGTGGTTGTTGTGGTTTTTGTGAACTCCGGAGGCATCAACACTGTGCTATGCTAAGGAGTCTGCATGCCACACCGGTCGTCATGCAGATTGCGCTTGCAGCAAAGTCTTGAAGCTAACATGGAACCGGAGAGCGGCCTTGTTGCAATGCTGTCCTGGTGCTATGGCTGTGCTGCGCTTTTGAGAACAAGAGCGGCGAGTCAGTAAAGCAAGCTGTCTTCTACGTGCTTGGCAATTGCTGCGATGCACCTTGAGACGACTTCACGACAAACGTTGTTTGGGGAAAGAAAGATTATTTCTGACAAGCCCCGTGCTCGCCGCAATGTGGTGTTCTTTCTCTATATGTCTGGATGCCGTGCAAGACGATGGGGGCGAGGTCAGAAAATTGCAGAGGATGTAGAGCTCATCAGGCCGTGGTTCAAACTGAATTCAGCCTTTTCGCTTTGACTTATTCAGGTGTGAAGCCACCAAAGCCACATTGGGCCGAGGTAGAGCACCCAGTGCCTGCAAACCGGTACTGATACTGCAAGCGAGACTGCAACTCAAGCCCTTCATTTGCCAATTTACTTCCTCTGCTGGTGAATATGGGCGACCTTGTCTCGATGTTCCGCACGACCACAGCTGCTGCATATAGTGATATAAGCCTAGCAGCCTAGCATTCGTGGGGAGCCCTCTTAGATCGTATATTTTCGTTCCCTGCTCGTACAACTTAAGATCTGAAACAGCCGTTCTCGGCGACCTCTTGGATTTGCATCCTCTGGTAGTGCAACTGAAGTGCTGACGCGCTAGAGTGTTCCTCGTCTTGGCTGGCCCTCCTCACTGTCTGGGGTCTACGCCGGCATATTACATCTGCTGTCGAGAAAGGCTGGCAGCTGGTGACAGAGTAGCATGTGTTCCCACTTCAACAGGTGCCTCCAGAATCGAGCATGTCTTTGGGCTCGACTGGAAAGTAGAGGCGGGTCCTGCCTCAAATCCGCTGGCAGCTGACTGGTTTGTGCCGTGGAGGAGAACACTTGCAACTGCCCGGTCGGACGATCTAGGGTGGAACAGGCAACTGTAAGTAATGAACAACGCCCAGAGATCCCTTTCGGAACTGTCTCGTGCCGTCTCAGTGCACTTGTGGCTGTCGTTGCTCGTGTTTTGGCCTGGCTTACGACCGAAGAATGCTCGACACCTTGCCTTGCAGTTTAGTGTTCCACAGACACCCGTCGGAGCAAGGCAAAGCACTTTGAAGAATGCATGAAGAACTTCCTAATTGCGTCGTACAGTCGTACAAACGATTCAGTCCCATCCATACGGAGCGAGGTAGCATAGCTCGTTTACGCACCGAGGGTGGTCCAGGTGCGTGGCGTTGATTCTGTCCCGGTCGACGCTACCTGCCCGACCCTGCTGCCTCAAATAGCCCGAACAAAACACATCCTGAACAAATCATTGCGATCGTTCGGCGGCAGTCCAGCTGGAAAACCCTGCTCCGTGCCCCCCAAAAATGCCAGGGCCCGACCATGTGCGGTTGAAGTTAGTCGCTTGGCCCTCCAACATCACGTCCAAGTCGTACTGGCAGGCAAGGCGCCAAGACTGAAGATTCCAAAGGATTGTGAGAGGCAAGCGTTTCATGCAGAGCTGTGGCTTGGGATCGGGGTTTAGGAAGCACGTTTAGTGGGCCTGCCGTGCTTGATGAATTGATCAGCCTTGCTTTTGTTATCCTCCTATGAACTTATCAAACTACTACTGTGCCCGATATCACTGCTACTGCTGCTGTGTGCATTGTCCACGACGCAACGAAGATCTTGTCTCTCGCAAGTGCAGATCGTCTCGCGACCCGGCAACAGCGAGGCAGCAACGGCCCTGTTTTGTCAGAGGCCAAAAGCTGACAGCCAAAAAGCTGGCCGCTGGGCTAGCTCGCCGCTCGGCCGCCCACTTGCCCAAAAGCCGGGCCCTTTCTGCTGCTACTAGCGGCACCCTGGGCGGGTGCCGCGACCAAGGGCGGGCAACTCCCACACTCCGAGCAGATTCAGCCCATCAGTTCCAAGGTTCTGCGAGGAGTACATGGGGGATGGCAAACAATATGGAGGAAGCTCCAGATTGTAACGATGAACATTGTCATATGCCTGTCCTTTCGGGTGGTACTCGTTGGAAGATCCATCCAACGACGGCCAATTCGGGATCGCAACATATTTGGAGCCGCTCCTTTCGAAGTTACGCAAGGCCTGCATGGACAAGTTCGAATCGAGGTGAATGAAGACATCGCGAGTATGGATCATGTCCACTTTGGGCGGGATCATGCAAGTAATGTCAAACACTGCAAATCTGTTAGCGAACTTGGCATCCGATGCGAAGGATCGAAGGTTGCTTGCCACCAGAGATGGGGAAATGTCGCCACCTGGGTTGTGCCTTCATGGCCCGCACTACACTCGATACGACCTGCTACAACTTACTTTCCTAAACATGGCAAACATCGAGACTGCCTGCTGAAGATCAAGCCAGACACCCATGTACTCGACGCCAGGCATCCACGTCATATCTCCACAGGGCACATCGAGGAATGTGCGGATCTTAAGTTTGTCGAAGACCTCGCGAAGAAACGGCCGGACCTCGGGCGCAACTGCTCTGTCCTCACCTAAAGGATTCAAGTTCGTCTCTACACTTCGCTGTTGGGCTTGGGAAGTTGAGATTTGTGGACGCTGACCTTGGCGGTCGCCTCCACGGTAGAACCTGGGCCTGACGGCTGTATGCCTTCCTTCTTTGCCCACTTCTCTATCCGTCCAGCCATGGTCGCATCCCAAGCTTCGGTGCGTGTCCTGCCGGGCGTGTGGGCAGCATCAAAATCGTCAGCAAAAACAAGATCAAAACACTCCACAGCTTTGCTCCAGTCACAAGACGCCGTGGCAGCACCGTTGGCTCCTCTCTGTCTCCGTCTGCACACACTCGTTCGTGGAATGAGATATCCAAGCCTGTCATGCCAGGTGTCATGAACTTTGATCTGGCTCAGGGGAAACTGTGTGGCACGCGTAAGGTGTAGGGCCGAAGAGTTTGGAGCTGACGGTGGATCGGGTTTGCATGCGAGAAAAAACTCCACAGCCGCATCACGGAAGGACAAGGCCTCCCCAGCAGACAGTGACAAGAACACAATTTGTGATGGCCCTCCACGTGCTGGGATCCTCCCTCGAAGCTTTGATGGCGTGCTGCGAAACTGCCCAAGCCCATGACTTGATTGCGCCAGCTGTCCATGAAACACACTGACATGTCGGCCAGCGATTTGTGCTCTGAAGTTGAAGACACAGGGTAATGTACTGCTACCTTCCGAAAGGTACCTGCAGCCATGCCACCTAATTTAATTTCTGTCAACGGTTATAGACGTCGTGATGTTTGGTCCCGGTTTTAGCCTCCGGCTCCATTCAGCTGCCTAGACTCACTACAAGCATCGAGGATCTTCTGGGTCTTTTCTGAGGATGCTAGGCCGAAGACGCTGCGAACAACCTCAAATGTTGCACCTGCAGCAGCACAACAACTACTCACAAACTCAAAAACAGCAAAACTGACAGTAGTCGCAGCCTGCGGAAACTGAAGGTCAGAGGCACGACTAGCAACTTTTGGAGCATCCTTGGCTGCTCGAAAGACATCTTGTTACTTGTTGTCATGGCATGACCTTGCCTAGCCCCGCATGCCAGCTTGCGGTCTTCGAATGTTGGCAAGGTGAATATCAAAAGCAAGCCTATACTCTACCGACCCAATCCAAGAGGCATTGGTGTTCAGTTGCATGGCGCAGTGGCTGTCCGCATCTTGTAAATCAGCATCACCTGGCGTGGCCAGGCTTGTTCTGTGTCTGCATGCTTGCGAGTACGTCACGTGGGAGTCTATCACAATGACGCTTCTGCAATCAGCATGAAACGCTCCTTTTCAGGCTTCAACACGGCAACGAAGACAAAAAAACAAACTTGACGTGAGGGATCGGTTTCGCAGATTGGAACTCGAAACATTTGGTGGATGTGAAAAGTGGTCCGAAAATTGCCTCCAAGCAAGGCCCAAGAGTTTACTGTTTTTGTTTACGTATCGTTTTGCATTGCTCATATTCTTATATGATCGACCTACGATGTTGTGTAAGCGTTAGACGATGTTAGACGTAGACAATACACCTCATATGTTGAATTTGAGCAGACAGTTCCGAGACTCGGGATTTTGTCGTGGAGGAGCTTTGCGTGTGTAGTCTCGTTTTCTTCTAGAACGCCCGGGGGCATGACGGCTGCGCAGGGAAGGAAACATTAACTACATATTGAACACCTGGCGAAGGAATTGAAACTCATTTTGGCAGAATCCAGCGGCTCTGCCTTTGACCCACACAAGAGCGGCCGCAAAAGCCAACGTGCAAGTGGTCACACGTCGGATGGCGGACATCGCAGGTATGGATTCGTTTCAGAATCTCCTCTATGCGAGATATCAATTTGAGACGGAAGATGGCTGCATTGGGTGCATGCTCGAGCTGAGTGAGGATCGTCGACGAGTCAAACTGGCCAAAACATGATAACCACGTGTCACGACCATGTTGCGTTGTCATATTTATCCTGACCTTGACCAAGAGCAGGAGCAGCAGCAGCAGTAGCAGCAGCAGCAGCAGTAGCAGCAGCAGCAGTAGCAGCAGCAGCAGCAGCAGCAGCAGCAAGTGTAGATATCGTTTCCGACGTCCATGTGCATCCCAAGTCACTTGAGGCTTCAACGCCGGAGGAGGCCTAAGCCCCCGGACGCAGCCGCATAGGCTAAAACAATTCCCCCAAGCTAGACTTGGTGAAAACCGGCAGTGAAACAAGTTGTGGGCCACTACTCAGCTAGGGTGTATTTGCAAAAGATCGGGCGGTAACGCAGGTCGGAGGAATCAATCTGATCTAGAGGAACTCGGAGAAAAAAGACTTCACAACTGCAAACCCATTCAGTACCGAGAGAATGTGAATCGGGAATCTCAAAACTCTACCACTCTATCACTGCCTCGCGAAATCCAGGCACTTCTCAAGCCAGACAGTGACATGCTGCGAAGCTGTGCAACCCCTAGCAGATCCTAGGAGTGTTCTTGTAGCACGAGAACAAAGCTCAAGGACTCCCTCGGGCAATCCGGCAACTCCGAAACAAAAAAACAACATCGCATGGACATACTGTAATTTCTGCCCAATGCACAATCTCCACACGACGTCTTGCGGAACCCAACAGCCACAGCTAGTAGCGCCATTTTGAAGGTCCTAACTTCCAAGCGACTCTCACATCCGACGGATGATCCATACAATCTACGAAACATTTCGAAGCAGTGCTAAGCAAGCCCCGGGCCTTCGCTTCTAAGCGTCTCGCATGTGCCACCTGACAAGTGAAACAGCTCGCGGCTTAAGGGGCCTTAGGCTCTTCAGACTTACAAGTATCGGCGTATGCTGCATTAAGTTGGAACTGATTAGGGCAGCGTTGGCCGTTGGGTCTTAGCTTGCGTGATGTTGCATGACACTGAGTTTACAGGAGCTGAACTGCGTGCAGAGGTACGAAGTCTGTGTCGGAACTCGAGCCGTGCTGGGTTTTTCGGGCTCGAAGTTCATCAGACGAGTCCGGGAGCTGTGTGGGATGTCTCCCCTCTCAGGTGGTCTGTCGTTGTGTTGGGGCCTGTCTGAGTTGTCGTGAAGCTGGCTGCAGAAAGAAACAGCTTGCTATCTGCAAGCATGCAATTGGGCAACTCGAGAGGGATCACTCCGGGTTCGCTCACAAAAGTATGCAGGCAAATCCCCCAAGGAGTTTGAAGATATGGCTGCAATCGACATAGAGTTCATGCTCTTTACACGGGGGCAGCGATGTGCAACACATGTGCGGCGAAATTGTGCCTCCGCCTGCCTGTGTTTGACCAATAAGCCGTGCATAAGATGCAATTCATGACACCTAGTAGCTCGTGGCTTGCAGAGGCTTCTGTCTTTACATCCTCTTTCCGCAACACGCTCGCGAAACACAACCGATGGGTCTTAAAAATCAGCAGATTGCGGCATACCTTGTGTATACATCGGCTACGCTTTAGAAAATCGATGGGCGACCAGACCAGCTCACTGGGACTGAGTCTTGGCTGGCTGTGACATGGCAGCACTAAAGGGCTTGGAATCTTTCGTCACTTGACGCAAGACTTGAATGATTGCCGCAGCTGAACTTGTCCAACAACATGTCTCCAACTGCTCAGTTTCATGTCTTTTCCGTATATACGGCTTACATACACGGCCATGAGCTACCTCAATAGGGATCTGATATTCTGCTCCTCCTCTGTCGCCAAGACGTTGGGAAGCGCACCCAACAAGACGCACAAGGATGCCAATCTGACTGTGCATCTCGTAGGTTTCTGCCAAAGGCTCCTTGGTGTCTCTCAGCTGTTGCAGTGATTACCACGTCTATGACACTTGTTATTGCGTTCTAGTGACCATGACTTTTCTGCGTGAGCTCGAAGTGCAGCAGATCTCAGCACTTATCCAAGATGTCCCCTCCAGCACCGTAGAACGTGACGCCACATGATGACTGTGAATACATGCTGACTTGCACTGCAGGGGACCGCTCAAGACTCAAAACTCGATTTAAAGTTTGAACAGCACGATAGCTGATGCCGAGCTTCGCGAGGGTGCCGACGAGGCAGCAAGCTGCCGCGACATGTAAAGTCTTGCCGGTTTCGGCCCCAGCGTCAAAGCTCTGTCTGCCGTGCAGCCGCGACTGCGCCAAACCAGTCCAAGCACGTTCCGGTGCCAGTTTAATTCGGGAGTGGTTCGGCTGCCTGTGTGTCGACACACTGCCTGAAGCGAGAAACGATGGCCCGACCCACAGTATCTGCTGCAACAGCAGCGCAGCGAGCAGTGGAAATGACTTTCTGCGTGCCGCTCTCATGACGGCATGGAACCTACTGCATCGTGCCCTTCTTTGGCCAAATGCTGTGGCCAGACTGCCAGACATGTATCTGGATCAGGAGAACAGGAAACCCTACCGTCCTATATATCTCGCATGCATGCGCAGACACGCAGACACACGCAGACACACGCACAAACCCACACAGACACACACACACAC